CCCGCAGAATGCTGCATGCCATAGTAGTTAATCGGCTTCCAGCCACAATATTCTCGCCCATTTCTACCCTCTCTCTTCACGCGGGAGTTTAATACCTTGAGCAGGCTGCAGAAAGTCTGGTCAAATCTGTATTCGGTAAGGTTTGATGCCTTTGGGGGTAGCCAGAAAAAAACAGTAATAATAGTGAATATCAACCCCCGACCTAAATCTTTAAATAAGTTAAATAAAAGCGTCTTTCCAGCATGACGTCATGAAGACACAAATGTGGACCTACACAGTGCAGAGATCCCGGATGCAGGGTGAAATAAGTTCCAAATGGAGGACTCAGTTTACTTTTTACCGATTATTCCTCGTGGATGGGGCAACTCAGCTGGGACAGACAATGACTTGTACATGATGAGGCCTCGCGAGTTTTTAAGATCACAATTATAATAAATGAGGCCTATCGTTAAAAAGCAAAAACAAATGGCAGTAGAATCCACGTCTCGTATCATTACTTCTGGGGTAGCTATACCGTTATAAGGACAAGAGAACTGAACGCATATTATTAAAGTTGGGGCTATAGTGACCTGGAGGTTAAGGTGTTCGCCTCTCATTCAAAGGTCCCGAGTTCGAATCCGGGTCGCGATGGAATTTTTTTTCCTCTAAAAGTGTCCACTTTCACCTCGTTTCCTGCTCTCAAGCAATGTTCTGTTGTCTGCTTTCGTCTCCATTTTCTAACCCCACCCCCTCACCTCCTTTGCCTCCTCCTCTGGGCTTTTGACTCTTTCTGCAGCCTTTCTACTGCTACTCTTTGGCTCCTTCTTACTGCTGTCTTCCAGCCACAACCCTGATCTTCTGGTAGAAAAGATCTACACCTAGCTTTCTCGGACAAGGGCAAACAATCTCGGAGGTCCCGAGTGCAATTTGCGCTCGTTAAAGATCCCTTGGTGGTCAAAAATCGATAAGAGTAGGCTTCGGCCGCAACCCGGGCAAAATTCAAAATTTCCTACCAACTGAAAGTGTTCGGTGCGTCCGGTGCGCTCATATGACCTTATGCAGTTGAGAGCGCCGTAAAACACGTACCAAAAACAAAAACAAAAATATATCATTACAGTTATCATTAATCAAAAACAAAGTGCAATCCTATTTTTGTTTCGAGAAATATCATTATCTTATGAGTTCCTCTCCCCCTGAGAAGGATTCAATTAGCCGTTCCCAAAGGGTAAGCACAGCTGTGGCGTTTCCTCCACTCCATCCATGACATACAGCAGAATTCTATTTAATAGAAGACAGGCTTTTCCAATTAAGAAAGTGCTGTATTTGATTATTGTTACGACTTGAAAATTAGAAGGAAGAACTCCGCCCACTAAAGATCGTATTAACGATTGAACTAGCGTAAAAATATAATACTGCTCGGAAATGTAGTTTGTTGGAACAGTTGTGAGAATGGCTGGATTATTTGAAGACGTGGTTCACTTTGGCTACACATTGCGTAATGCCAAGTCCATGTCAATCAGGAGATTTGTGTCCGCTCGGAGCCCGACCCACCCCTAACTTCCCCGTTTTAAAGTTTGAATCTGAGTGGTGTTTTACGGCACTGTCGACATAATTTGGTCATGTGAGCGCCATCCCGTGTGTTAGTCCTGCAAAGACATGAAGGCGTCCTATAGGTGTCCCCAAGCCATTGAATCCTCCATTCCTACCTCCCATCCTTTTGTTTCACCCTACACTCCGAACATGTCCAAAGGAACCCGCCCGCGAGTCTCTTTTCTTCTACTCCCCAGGATTTTGCCGCAGGATAGTGGTGAATGATCTTTATTTCCTCTTGAAAGGGATATGGTAAGGTTGACGGAGACCAAGAGATCGGGCAGGCATAGGAGGGTGGGGGCAGAGAGAGAGAGAGAGAGAGAGAGAGAGAGAG